AAATAAAATAATAATAATAATTTAAAAATCAATCTACTCCCACCGCTCAGCAAGAAAGAAAAAAAGAAAAAAAAAAGAAAACAAGAAAAAAAAAAGGCAAATTACTCCAAACCAGCAACTCCATGCTTGAAACGTTTTTTCTGACCCTCCGCTAGATGGCAGCAACGAAACCAGCCTGAAACAGCCGATTATGGGATTGTGGAGAAAACGAGTTTATCCTTACTGCTAAACCCTCAGAGAGTAATGCAGTTAAGAAACTCTCGTTATTGGCTGGGTTAAAAAAAAACAGAGATCTTTGCTTTTAGGCTGCTCTTTGCTTTTAGGCTTCAATAATTTACAAAAATACCTCCCTGCATTGTATGCCATGCACTTAAGGCAAATGTACTTGGGCTGGAAAAAAACAGTTAAGTATTGTTGCTTTAATGTAAATAATTACTCCATAATGTCAGCTGCTAGTCTTGTAAAATGCTCCCAAGTTCTTACTTTCACAAGCTGAATGGACCTGATCTTTAAGACAAGAACACCCGTCTGCACCAAAACTGCAGCAAGCCAGGAGAACAAGTTCCCTTGTGTATTTACAACAATGTTCAATTTTGTAATAGGGATGCTGATTTTATGCCAATGAATTAAAATGGTGCTACATTTTTGGTGTTGGATGGTCACCAGATTAAAGCGGTAAACTTTTAGCTTGGGTCTTCAAACCAGTTACAGTACAAGCTGGACCAGGATCCAAGTAGTTATGACACAAACGGGATTCAAACAGGGACCAGGTAAGAAAGGAAGGAATTAAACACACTTGTCTTGCACTTATACTGTACTTGAAGATGAATCCATCTTGACCTGAGTTAAAGCACTGCAAAGCTGCTATAAGTAGGGCACATGCTAAAATTCAGAGCGGGTAATATACACCCACTACCTTGGTCCTATTCCTGACCTATTCCATAGATTTTTGTGTGTGTGAAGAGAGTTAGATCTGGTATAACATCAACTTTCCAGCTTTCATGAATCTGTGAAATTCTCTTGTGTGAGTGAGAGAGATCCTCATCTCCCCTTGCTCTAATATAGAGATATAAAGGGTTTGCAGAATACAGAGTATATTTTCAGAAAGGAAAAGTAATTTAAGTTATTCTCTCTGTGTTCACTCTTTTATTTAAAAAAATGCCATTGTATCTCATGTTTTCACTCTCCTGAATTATTCTGAGGTTTATGAACTTAATTGTATGAGTGCTCTTAAAATTTAATATTGGTCCTTTAATCTACAAAGACCTTTTTTCATAGCATGGCTATGTATCTTATCTTTTAAAAGTGTATTCTAAATCCAGTTTGTACACTAGTACTCCAGGAATTTCGCTCCCGTTTTTGCCATGTCAGGTTAAAAAATACTGGCACTACATCTTCTGGGGTGACAGAGATGCTACATGTTCAAAGAATATGACACAGGGATGACAAAAGCCTGTCTCAAGTCTCAGAGAATTCTTCTGATTGAATCAATCTATTTTTCATTTTTCTCCTCTGAAAAAGTGTAAGAAAACTTTTATTCATTTAGACTAGCTTTTTAGTAAGTGCTGAAATATTGCAGCAATGCAGGCAGACACTAAGTAGTGCATTAATTTTTGTTTTAGAATTCTTTGGGATATCTTGAAAGCTACTTTATAATACTTTTCTATATTCCAATAATAGCTATCACAAAAAGATGAAAGGTGTTCATTAGAATGAATAGTCAGCTTGTTTTCTGTACATACTGCATGTACTATACCACAAATACTGGTCCATATCACTAGTCCAAAGAAAGAGACACTAAGGAAAACAACATACTTATAGTTTTCTTTTTAAATTATACTCATAAGAAGACATTCTCCTATGCTCAGGGTATCTGTCTTTTTTCAGGATCAATTAATTATGCTGTACAGGAACATTGTAAAATAGTGATGTCAAACAAATTGTGACAAAAAAATGAAATTCAAATAAAACAAGGGAGGGGAGTAGTTTTATTAAAATGTTTATTGAAAAAATTCCAATCAACATAATTTGGCTGTACTAAGTAAGTAAAACACTGAGCATGACTATGGTAATCAGGATGCAAACAGCTAGTACCACAAGCAAGATGATTCGGCAACATTTGGAATGCTTTTTTTCTCTCTCTTTCTTTTTCAACAGTGTATCATACCCAGGAGTATAAATATCCCTCATCCAATACCGTAGATCATTAGGATTTTCCTAAAAGAAGAATCAGAAAATTAACTCAGTTCCTCGCTCTTGTACATAAAGTCATTAGAACATAGCCAGAAGTATTTTGGCTATCATCAGATAGTGATGTAAGACATCACAACACAAATGCAAGAAACTTTCACTTGAACATAGGTTGTGTTACTTGCCAGATGCTGCAAATGTTCCACTGGGGAAAATGAAAACCATGCTTTTCAGCTGGGAACGAAATGTAGGACACCAGCCATTGAAATGTGATTTAAAAACCTAGAAGAAACCATGTTGTCCTCTCAAGAAAAGATGTCAATTTATAAACACAGATCTGAGTCCCTTTCCAAAAAAGGGGAACAGCAGAAAAAAACTCACAAAAGTAAGCCTAAAAGTTATTTGTGCCCACCCACAGGCAGGCAGTATCCTGCACAATGAGGATGAGGCTGAGAAAATGTATGTTATTTGATAACAGAATGATGTTATGAACAGTTATTGAAATGGGCACATTTATAGTTCTTGCCTATATAAATGGGGATCTGCGGGATGTTGTGGCTTAAAACTTCCTCTTGTCAGAGAGGTTGTTTTCTACAGAACTGAAATTCCTGGAGTCTAACCAGGTAAGCAGACTTCTTTTCCTGATCAGACTCATGTTAGTGTCATGTCTGTACCAGAAAATATGTCCATAGCTACTTTTGGAACCCACCAAATGCAGGCGGCACAGTGGTTCGTGCACACACTGCACAGCTCACAGCAACTCACTGTGCTCAAACGCAGTGCGACAGCACATTACCTTCATGTGGCTGGCCAAGTTGGACTGCAGGGATTGTTGGTCATAATCTTGGATGGTCCAGGAGGGGGTCTTTTTCTTTTTCTCCCAGTTGTCATCCACCTGGATATCACTATATAGGGGGTTCCTTTTGATCGTGGATTTCAGCGTGACGGGTGTAATGTGTTTCCCAAGGGCTTTGTCTATAATTTCTTGACTGACCCTGTTCGAGTCTAAGCCTGGCAGCTGAGTGGTATTTCTCTTTTCTTTCTGTAAGACAGAAGTTAGATCAGAAGCTGGATTTTATCTTCATTTACCTATGACACAGGTCCCCTTCCACAAGGGGACCTTGTCATTTGTTATACAACAGAATAGCTTTTAGAATTACACATGCTACACTTTTTCTCATTCTGGCAAACATCTACAGTGCAGTAAGGGAGTCTGGCTCTTCACACTGGGTAGATTTCCTCTTTCTGGGCACAGTGTGGATACAACCTGAATGTGCAAATCTTTTGTGAATGTGAACATACCAGTTCACATGCCTGCTGAAAGAAAGCCCCTGCTTTAGCGAAACAGTGCTATGGAGTACTGTGTCAGAAGATGCCATTCTGATGAAAGCCAAGGGAGCACGATGCAGAAGCAGGGCTGTAAGGACAAAGTAGAATGAAGCATAGCGGTGATGATGTGTAAGTGACTAAAGTAGCTGGACCTCTGACAGAAGGGGTGTGATTCATAGTTCTGTTCTGTTATGGTTTAAGGGTTACCAGCCTGAAAGGGAAGGACAGGTGGTGTCTGTAGGATGCTGGGGGGTCTGAGATCAGTACTGTTCCCTCCCCTTTCTGGCCACAGTCTATAAAAAACTGAGGAGGTCTGAGGTTTTTGCGGGCTTTTCCTGCTTCCTGTCGCATCTCAGGATGGCTGGGCTACCTCCACGTGCTCGGCAGCATCCATCACCAACCGCTCCCAGCCACCATTTGCTCCCCAGCACCACTGCGGTCCCTGGAGATGAGTCACAGCGGTCACAGTGGCCACGAGGCACTGCTTGGACACTTCCACTCAGGACTACTGGGATTGGGTTTTGTATATACTTAAATATCCTTTGTCCCTTATTAATCCTTTTTTTTCCTTTCCCCTGTTGTTTTTCATTAAACTTGTTGCAGTCTTAACTTCCAACGTTGTGCGAAGCATCTTTTTCTCTATTCCCCTTTTTTTTTTTATCCACCCCCTGGGAGGGTAGGGGACAATAGAGAGAAAATCCTGCTCTCTGACCCTTTAAACAGAGACAGGATCAATTGGCACCCAATGTGGGCCATGAGTTTGGAAATTAATTTTTATTATTAT